ATCGATTAAACCCTATATCCAAATTACTGTGCCTCTTGCCTTATATTAGATAAACCTTGCCAAATTCCTTCATTTTAGTTATATACAGATTACTATTCTATATTTTGTAATATATTATAATATATACATAATTGTTTTAATAAATTAATCTAAAAACTTAGTTATTTTATATAAAACATATTTAATTAGATCAAAATCTTGTTCAATATATCAATTAAACTATTAGCATATATAAGTAAACATTTATTAGATGTTTTTGAATTGTATGCTTTAATATATAACTTTATAGTTCATATTAAAAATTCTTAATTTGTAAGAGATTTTTAAATATAAATATTATACAAATCTTTTATTTCAGGTTGCAAAAAAAAATTTTGTTTATTGTTTATTACTATTGACTTATAAAAAATTGCTTAAATGTCTATTAACTATTTGAGAAAGAATGAAATCATAGAGTTGATTTTTATAATGGTATATTAAAACTATTTTTAATTGTTTTTTTTTATCTTAAAAAAAATTTTGGAAATTAGATTTCAAGAAGAATTAATATATGTTCTTTAATCTTTCTATAATATATTAATATATCTATAGTTATTGCCTATAGTTCTTAATTTTATTTAAAGAATTTTTGAGTTTAAATATTTTAAGATATTATAAATAAGTTTGGATTTATTTTTTTTATTATTTGTTATATTTGATTAAATGTTTTTTTTTTGATATTATTTATTTTAATTGATTTTTTATAAGAATAAAATATTGTATTCTTTATTTTGTTTATTGTATTAGAAATATATTAAGTCTAAATAAAAACATTTTTTTTAAGTATAGTTTTCAAATATTTTTAATTGTTTGACTTATAGTAAATAATATAGTTTTATTTTAATAGATAATATAGTTCTATCTAATAGGTAATATAGTTTTATTTGATAGATAATATATGTTGTCTTGATAGTTTATATATAATATTGTTATTATTGAATTGAATTTAAAAATAAATTGATTAATCTTGAAGAAATATTTATTTCAATAATATTTCTTTATTGCTATTATTTAATATAATATATAGTATATATTGTTAGTAGGAAAAAATGAGTGGAATGATCTGAATTGCCAATAATCACGTGACTTGATGCGATGTAGTGGATCAGGAATTAGAAAGTCTAATTAGTCTAAAGCTTATTTTGCATAATGCGACGGAAGCTTAGTAGACGCGTCGCTCATAGTATAAATATAGCTAGACTCGACTAATAATAAGGGAGAGAGAGACAAAAAAATAGAAATAGTAGTTGTAAACATAAGAGTAATAAAGAAGCATGCTTGTTAAAATTCCATTTGTACTTATCTTAATATATTAATAAACTTGCTTCTAAAGAGTTATTGGCTGTTATAAGAATCCTAGAGACCTAAAAAGAATTGTGGTAAAGGATTAGATCAGCAATACAAGAGAAGGAAGTCTATTAATACATATCTTTGATTAAACAAGTGATCCCTGACCCCTATCCTTATCATTACACGAGCCCTAGCTTTGGACTAGTGATCGACTTGCTATATACCAATAATATTTGGTGGAGAACCAAAGTAATTCAATTAGGAACAACATTCATTACTTCCCTCCTTCCCTTCCCGATAAAATTATACGGACAAGAAGAAAAGTTTATAATAAGTAAAAAAAAAAAAAAGTTCAATTGAAAGAAAAACAAGAGTAAGCCAAAAATGATACCTTCGTAAAAATCCGTTGCAAGAACCCGTGACATGTTGGTGATCAGAATCACGTAAAAAATGATGAATTTCAGATTTGATGATGATCTAGAAATAAATCTGATTGATTTTGGCATACTGTAAGCAAGAAGAAAGCGAGGCGCCAATATCTCACGAAATGTAACAAATTCAACCGGCAGCCTAAACCCAGCATGTCAAGAACCAAAGGTGAAACTGAGAGAAGAAAGAGAAGTCCACTGGATCAAGGTACGAGAATTCAGAGGTGAAGAATTCAAAGATCCGTATACATGGTTAGAATTATAAGAAAAGACAGCAAGATCCAATAACTGAACAAACGAAAAAAAATTAAGAATGGTGGTTAGTTACTTGAAAGGCATGGCGTCAGACTGGTATAAAGACTACCAAGACCAATTAGAGCATTGGAACAATGAGCAAGAATATTGAAAGAGCTTCATACTGAACTTTCTGCACTGTTTCGTATCAACGGAACAGTGATGCTGATGGCAAACAGAACTGTTCAGTCTGAAACAAAGAAACGACGAGAAAGTAATGGCCTATGCTCATAGATTCTGAAGATTGCTAAAGAGGGTCGATTCTGATAGCAACTACTCGAAAACCTGCGTGGTAAACATGTTCGTGAATGGACTAAAGGGAAGAATGGCATCAGTACCTGTTATGAGAAATGCAGCCACACTAATCAAGACAATCTATGAAGCTAAGCAGTTCGAAGACAAAAAGGATTTCAAGATTCATCATAAAAGCGAGGAAACAGAAAGAACGTGAAAAATGGAAAATGACATTCAAGAACTGCTGAAATAAGTAAGGAAAATGAAAGAAAGTTACAACAAACCAAAATCAAATGGGTATGACAGTCGATCGAAGCCTATGAATACAAATAAGCAGAGTTGTTTCACATGTAGTGAAAAGAGCCATATCACCAGAAACTGCACCAAGAAGAACCGACCAGCAAATAAATCTAATCAGATCAATGAAATGTAATTCCTAGATGTCAAAGATAACAAAAAAGTCAAAAGAGAAGCTTACACTGGTAAAGATCGTGATATAAGAGGGAAAAGAAAGAAAGTATTAGAGTCAAGTTCACAATGGGACAGATGATTAAGGAACAGATCAAAACTTGACTCATGAACAAACGGATACGATGATGATGATCAGCCACTGATCAATATTGACGAAGAAATGGAGGAAGCAGTACCGACTATAAAAAAGCCATGACAAAAGAGAGGACTGTCAAAAATTGAAAAGATGCTGTCTTACAATATCCTAAAAGATATCTTTGCAGCACCTGCGAATGTCATGATTGGGCAAATGCTACAGTTCCAAGGACCAAGGGAAATAGTAGCAAAAGTGATGCATAGACTGCTTATCGAGGTGGAAACAAACTATATTGCAACAAAGGTAAAAGAAAAAAAAGAGGTAAAGACAGAAGAAAAGGAAAAGAAGACAATAACAATGAGATACCAGGTAAAAATCAAGAATATTAGAGTAGAGGCAATCATTGATATGGGAGCCGTCATGAGCATTATCTCAAAGAAACTGATGGACCGGTTGAAACTAAAAATTGATGAGAAGTCAATAATGACAATAGTATCTATTACAGGCATAAGGACTAGGGCATTAGGAAATATTAATAACCTGAAAATATCAATACAAGGAATGCTGATCCCGACACCAGTACAAGTGGTCGATTTCAAGAATGAGATACTGATCTTAGAAAATAACTGGTTCGAAAAGATCAAGGCAAGGATCTATATTGATGAACAAAAGTTAGTACTGAAATACGAGGGTCAAAAGATCAAGGTTTCGATTACCAATGATAGAGCAAGAAAGGTACCCGCTAATGAAACTGATGATGATAAGCAATATAATAAAGAACAGGCTGATAAACTATTAGACGAAATCGTATATAAGGAAAAAAAAGTAAAAGAAAAAAAAGTGTATTATACAGAGGAGTCACGTAGTGATTCAGATTCCAATGATGATATGCAATCCGAGTCATATAGTGACTCAGGATCCAATAATGAGACAAGATCTGAGGGATCAAGCCCTGCCATGTACTTCACCCAGATCGGAGAATCATTGCCATTAGAAGAGGAGAAACTGAGTAAAGAAGTGAATATCGAAAAAGGCAACAAGACAAGCATTATCACGGAGGAAATTCAAACAGAAGTACCGGAGGAATCAAGCTATATTGAGAACGAACAAATCGTTAAGTCAGCAATCAATATTGATACTGGCATGCTCGAAGAAGATGCCATGGCACTAATTGAGGAATTGCTGATGCCGATGGAGCTGACGCAAGAGGAAGACATCGAAGAAAAAATAGAGAAACTGGAGATGGATGACGAATTTGCAGCAGAGCAGGTGGAACAGATAAAAGACATATTGAAACAAGGGCATGATGTGTTTGCACAATCTGTATCAGAGTTGAGTTGCACCAAAATCATCGAACACGAGATTGATATGGGTGAGGCAAGTCCAATCAAACAAAATGCCTATAGAACTGCTTTAGACATCAGAGAATTTATAAGAAAAGAAATAGCTTACTTAGAGAAGCATGGATTAGTACAAGAATCAAAGAGCCTGTGGTTGTTGCCGATAGTTGTAGTGCCAAAAAAAGATGAAAAACTTAGACTATGTATAGACTATTGAAAAATCAATGCAGTAATGAAAAAGGATGTCTACCTTCTATCGTTGGTAAACAATCTAATTGAAGCTTATGCTAGTGCATGATAATTTAGCACCATCAATTTTATATCAGATTATTGGCAAGTGAAAGTGTATGAAAAAGACAGGGAGAAGATGGCATTTGTTATGTTTGTGGGGATGTACAGGTTTATAGTTATGCCATTTGGACTGTGTAATGCTCCAGCAATATTTCAGTTTCTGATGAACATGCTATTATGTGAATATATTGAGAAATTCATAATGGTTTATCTGGATGATGTAACTATCTACTCCAAAACAGTGGGAGAACACTTGATACATATCCAAGCCATACTAATCAAGATCAGGGAGACCGGACTAAAACTAAACCTAAGTAAATGTGCATTCTTTCAGGCACATATAGACTTCTTAGGTCACGTGATCAGCAGAGATGGAGTCAGACCTGACAAAGCTAAGATTGACAAAGTAAAGTATTTTCCAGTACCAACAAACATACGTCAGCTACATGGATTTATTGGTCTTGTGTCGTATTACTGATAATTTATTCAAGGATTCTCTACGATCGTGCAACCATTATACTATTTGACAAAAAAGAATATTAAATATAAATGGCAGGATAATCAGGATCATATCTTTGAGTAGCTGAAATGACACCTCGTTACTGTCCTGGTTCTAAGGTATCCAGACTACAATAAAATGTTTTATGTGTACACTGATGCATCCGGGCATGGGCTAGGAGCCATGCTGGTGCAGAAGGATATGGATGGTCAGGAATACATGATCACCTATGCCAGCTGTGGATTAACTAAGCACGAGCGAAACTATGCCATGACAAAGTTGGAGTGTCTAGCTATAATCTGGGCAATTGAGCATCTTTAATACTACTATGAACTGAAACACTTTATAGTAGTTACGGACCATAAGGCACTTAAGTGATTGCAAATGTCTAAGCTAATGGAAAGATGAATGAGATGGATTCTCAAGTTACAAGCTTTCAATTTCACTATTGTACATCGCAAAGGTAAGAAACATAGCAATGCTAATATATTGTTTTATCTCTAGTACCATACAACTTTACCAGAAACAAAAGAAGGAGATAAGGGGAAGGAATAAGAAGAATGGAATAGTTGAAAGAGTTAAAAAAAAAAAAATGAGGAACAGAATCCAGTCCAGGTTCCAGTATTCTAATACACACACAAAAAAAAAATGGAAACAGAACACTATAACCACCTCTGAAACTATCTTCAATACCAAAAGGTTCTGACAACATTTAATACAAAAGAAAGGTATGTATTGTAACAAAAAAGTAAAAATTACATGTTTAAAGATGGTATCCTTTACTAAAAGAACAAACAAAACCAGGGTTGCTTATTGCATGTGCTTCAAAAGCATGAAGTTAAACCCATTTTATTCCTGATGCATCGTCACCCTTTGGGCGAATATTTTAATAAAGATATAATGTTTATAAAGATTAAAGCTAGCTACTACTGGCCGCACATGTATGATGACATACGTAATTATACCCAGTATTGCGACCAATGTTAGTGGCAAGATAAAACATGTATATAGGGCCCCTTACAACTTATATTTATACTAGTGCCATTTCATCAAATCGGTATTGATTTCATAGGACCTCTGCCTATATTCCTAGAATAAAGAGATATATCATTGTCACCATGAATTACATGACGAAGTGGCCAGAAGCAATCATTACTGAGAAAGCAGATGCATCCACCGTAGTTGACTTCATATATAATGATATTATTTGCCATTATGATTGTCTTGGAAAGATCGTCACGGATCATAATACTCACTTTAAGAACAAAATGGTGTGAACACTGTTAGAAAAGTTCCAAAGTAAGTAGAAGTTTACAACACCATATTATCTGCAAACTAACAGATTGGTAGAGTACTTTAACCATACTTTGTGCGAAGCTATAGCCAAACTGATACAGCATATAACCAATTGGGACTTACTGATTCCATCCATCCTCTTCACCTATTGTACATCCAAGCATGCCACAATAGAAATGACATCTTTTTATCTTGTCTACGGATATGAGGCTTGTCAACCGATACATCCAAGTGTAACAGACGAACTGTTAGATAGAACTATACTACAATGGATATACAACTTAATAGAACACCTACCTAGAGCAAGAGAACAGATTGTGAACTGAGTGAGTAAAGCACAAGCAAAGCAGAAAGTCCATCATAACACTAACAAAGAATTAGCTGAACCATTTGATATCGATAACAAAGTGTTGATGTACCGTGCAGCATTAGAGCATTCACGAAGTAGCAAATTTGTTAATAAATGGAATGGACCATATTATATATATGACATACTTACCCATGACATATACCAGTTGCGAAACACCGATGGACGAGTATTGGCTAGCCCTATCAATATCAAGATCCTAAAAAGATATTATAAGCTGGAGGTTTTAGTATAATTATATATACAGGAGTGTATAAAAAAAAGCATGGGAGAAGTGTTAGCAGGAAAAAATGAGTGGGATGATTCAGATCGCCGATAGTCACGTGACTTGGTGCAATGCGACGGATCAGGAATTAGAAAGTCTAATTAGTCTAAAGTTTGTTTTGCATAATGCGACGGAAGCTTAGTAGACGTGTCGCTTATAGTATAAATATAGCTAGACTCAACTAATAATGAGAAAGAGAGAGACAAAAAAATAGAAATAGTAGTTGTAAACACAAGAGTAATAAAGAAGCATACTTGTTAAAATTTCATTTGTACTTATCTTAATACATTAATAAACTTGTCTCTAGAGAGTTATTGGCCATTATAAGAACCCTAGAAACCCAAAAGGAATTGTGGTAAAGGATTAGATTGGCAATACAGTGAACCCTCTCTAAATGCACACCCCTCGGGACCATAGGAAAATTTTTGAAAAATGTGCATTTATAGAGGGTGTGCATTTATGGAGGTAATTTTATTAAGAGTTCTATGTACTTGGGACCAAGCTTGACCATGCATTTAGAGAGAGAAAATATAGTAAGTGCATTTATAGAGGGTGCATTTAGGGAGGTCTCTCTGTACAAACGAAGAAAGTCTATTAATATGTACCTTTGGTTAAGCAAGCAATTCCTGACCTCTATCCTTATCATTACATAAACCCTAGTTTTGGACTAGTGACTAACTTGCCATATACTGATAACAATATATTATTTTTTTTAAAATTATATTTTTTTTATTATAATACTTCAATTTATTATAAATATATTAGTATAAATTATTTCTTTTAATTGTTTATTTATTGAAGTTTAATATTTTAACTTGTTAAGTAATTTGTTTAATTTTGAAGTTATATTTTGTTTTTATTTAATAAATTGACAAAGAAATTTTATTTTTTAATTTATAATTTTTGTTTTTAATAACTGTTGAGAAAAAAAATACCAAGGTTATAGTATTTGAAATCACAATTTTTTTTTTATCGTAAAAGGGCATCAGATACAAAGCTTTATTAATGTATATTGTCAACCTATCCAATAAACCTTAAAATTGAATAGATTAATGAACAATTATAGCAGGGAGCCACTTAAGTTAGAGGGAAATAATCTCAGTTGTGGTATATTAGAGTTAATAAAATGAAGGAATTTGGCAAGGTTTATCTAATATAAGGCAAGAGGCACAGTAATTTGGATATAGGGTTTAATCGAT